CGTGCGTGTCCGTGCGTGTCCGTGCGTGTCTGTGCGTGTCTGTGCGTGTCTGTGCGTGTCTGTGCGTGTCTGTGCGTGTCTGTGCGTGTCTGTGCGTGTCTGTGCGTGTCTGTGCGTGTCTGTGCGTGTCTGTGCGTGTCTGTGCGCGTGTGATGTGGTGTGACGCGGTGTAGCGTGGTGGTGGTGGGTGGGGTAGTGCGGTGGTGGTGGCGGTGCGCGGTGGTGGTGCGCGTGCGTGCGTGCGTGCGTTGGTGGGTGGAAGTGGCGGTGGGTGTGAGTGCGGCGGGGCGGGGCGTGGTGCGGCGCGGTGGTGGCGGGCGGATGGGCGCGCGAGAAAGAGGCCCGCGCTGGGGCGAGAACGACATCCTGAACGACGGAGGCCAAACACCGATCCGAAAATGAGGCCCACGCTGCAGCGGGAGCACGATTCGGAACGATTCGGGAGCAGAAATGAGGCCGGCGCCTCAACGAGAGCAGCATTTTTGAAAACCGCATGCCGAACACCCAACATCCGGGGAATCGTGTGTAAAAAGCAGTACGCGGGGTGGGGTTTTGGGGGGGCGAATACGCAAATACGTCATCAGGGGGAAGAGGGAGAGTATATTCATATTGAGTATTGTGGGGAGGAGGAGGAGGAGGAGGGAGAGGAGGAGGAGGAAGGAGGAGGAGGAGGGGGAGAGGAGGAGGAGGAGGAGGAGGGGAGGTAGGAGGAGGAGGAGGAGGGGACAAATGGGTAAACAGACGTGCTCGGCAGCCCTGTGCTTGGGAGCGTCATGCACGAGGGGACGTGCCAGGGAATCCGGAGGCAGGCCCAGGTGCGATCCCCCGCTCTGCCTATGATCCCAGGGCGCGCCAGCGTCACCTTCTCCCTTTCCCTTCCCTCCCTCCCTCCCTCCCCCCTCCCTCTCCTCCTCGTTTTCCTCCTTCTCGTTCTCCGCTCCCTCTTCTCCTCCTTGGACCCTCCCTCCTCCCCCCTCCTCCGCTAGTGAGAGTAGGGAATCTGACGAGGAGCCCGAGGAGAGGGGGGGAGGAGAGGCGAAGCAAGGGGGAGGAGATTAGGGGGCATGGGGGCCTCCCCTTCTCCTCTCCCTCCTCCTCCTCGTCCTCCTCCTCCTCCTCTTTCCTCTTACCTCTTCCTCTCGTCCTCCTCCTCCTCCTCCTCCTCCTCCCTCCTCCTCCTGCCTCCTCCCCTTCACTCTACTCCTCCTTCCTGCTCCTCCTCCTCCTTCTCCTCCCCTTACTCCTCTGGTCCTCCTCCTCCTCCTCCTCCTCCTCCTGCTCCCCTTCCTCCTCCTCCTCGTCCTCCTCCTCCTCCTCCTCCTCCTCCTCCTCCTGCTTCACCTCTCATTTTGCGCCCCTGCCTCCCTGCACCCTTCCCCCCTGCGACCCCTCCTCCCCGCCCGCTCTACATTTCCTCCCTCTCCGCCCTCCGCCCCCCACTACTCCCTCCCCGGGCGAAAACAGGGGAGGGATGGAGGGAGTTCGTCTTGGAGGAGGAGTGGAAGGGTGGCCGTCGAAGAAGAAGGCGCGCCACGAGCATAGACCCTTGGCGCTCCGCGCGGAGCACCAACGGTTCGTGTTTGTGGCGCTTTTTCTTCCTCTGGCAGTGGAGGAGTGGAGGGGGGGCCTGGGCGGGGGGGCGGGGGAGCGGGGACGGGGACCCTGACCTTCCAGAGAGCTATGTTTTAGCACTGGAAACTTAAAATCCTAAACAACGAAACGAAGCAGCCTAAAACCAAGACATACGATAGCTCTGGGACAGGCTTTTAAAGTCGCGTGCTATTTTTTGGCCCTCCTGGAAGGTCAGGGGAGAGGTCCTATTGGTGCAGGCCTCGGGCCGCCTCCCCCCCCCTCCCCCCAACTGGGGCGGCCGGCGGACTCTGCGCCTCGCGGAGCTCCCCGCACGTGGTGCTCTACGACACCACCTCCTACACGCTCGCGGCCCGGCTCACCCTGACCTCGAACCAGAGCCTGAGGACCCCCCCCCGCGGATTTTTCTGCCGGCCGCGCCGTGTGGCCGGCGTGCCCGCCCGCCCCGGGCCGGGGCCCCGCGACGTGACGATGGCGGTGATGATGATGGTGATGATGATGATGATGATGATGATGATGATGATGATGATGATGATGATGATGATGATGATGATGATGATGGTGATGGTGATGGTGATGGTGATGGTGATGGTGATGGTGATGGCGATGGCGATGGCGATGGTGATGGCGATGGCGATGGTGATGGTGATGGTGATGGTGATGGTGATGATGACGACGAGGAGCAGGAGGAGGACGAGGAGGAGGAGGACGAGGCCGAGGACGAGGACAAGGACGATGGCGATGACGACGACGACGATGATGATTATGATGTTGATGATATGATGCTGATGATGATACTGATACTGATGATGTTGACGATGATGATGGTGATGATGGTGATGCTGGCGATGATGATGATGGTTGGGATGACGATGACGATGGTGATGGCCATGATGATGGAGATGGATATTGGCATGGAGATAATGATGATGATGGTGATGATGGTGATGCTGGCGATGATGATGGCGGGGATAACGACAATGATGATGGCCATGATGATGGAGATGGATGTTGACATGGTGGTGCTGATGATGATGATGATGATGATGATGATGGTGGTGGTGATGGTGATGGTGATGGTGATGGTGATGGTGGTGATGATGAAAATGATGATGATGATGATGATGCTGACGATGATGAGAATGATGATGATGATGATGATGATGATGATGATGCTGATGATGATGATGATGATGATGATGATGATGATGGTGATGGTGATGGTGATGGTGATGGTGATGGTGATGGTGATGGTGATGGTGATGGTGATGTTGATGATGATGATGATGATGGTGGTGGTGATGATGATGATGATCTTGATGGTGATGATGATGGCGATCCGGATTGTGATGTTCGTAGTGAAGGTGGCTGTTTTATGATGGTGGTAAGTAATGGCCATGTTGCTGATAATGGTGATGAATTTGGTGATGCCGAGGGTGGAGGGGATAGTGATGATGGTGGCGGCGATGATGCTGCTGATGATGGAAATGATCGTGGGGTTACAGACGAGGAGGAAGAAGCGGGGTGGTGGTCAGGATTGTAATGGCGGATGTGACCTGTCAATCCAGATGTCATTTTCCGATGGCCATGTATAAGTAAAAGCTATTTCGTATTCGCGAGCACGGTCTCCTAAATTCTCTTGATGGTAAAGTGTGTGATGCGTCTGCCCCAAGAAGATCACAGACGGCCAGGCACGTGAACCTCTGATCCCAATCTAGGGTAGACCGCACTCCGTGGTATCCCACACCTGTTCTTGACATCTCCGCGCGTTCTCTCTCTCACTCTCTCTTTTCCCCCCTCCCTTGATTATCAGAAGCCCTGCGAGATGGCCCCAGAGGCGGCAAGCCCCAGGACGCCCCGAGTAGGACCCGAAGGGCTCAGGATGGCCCATGACGGCCGCCACCGTGCTCCCAGGATGGCCGCAGAGGTCCTCCTAGGGATGGCTTGTTTTGGACTGCTCGCCGTCTTCGGGTCCAGAGAGGGTCTCACGCCAGACTCGTACTGGCGTCAGGCCTGGAAGGCCCACGCCACAGGCCCCGCGGAGGCCACAGGCGCGCACCAAGAGGCTCCAAGAGGCAGCCTCAGAGGCACCAGAGACAGTCCCAAGAGAACGAGGAGGAGGAGGAGGAGGAGGACTCTGGAAGAGCCCCAAGGGGTTCAAGAGGCTCCTGAGAGGGCCTGGCGAGGCCCCAGTACTCGCGGGCCTGTTTCAGTTTGGGCATCCACATTGTTCCCCCAGGATAAGCACGCTGCGAATACGCTCGGCTAGAGCCTTAGCGCGCAGTAGGCGCGCGTGGCTCTCATTCAGCAGGGACAGACTTTGCAAGCAACGCAGCGAACTCGTCATTTTGGGAAGACGTATCTAGCACGTTCCCTCTGCTTCTTCGCTGGCTCTAGAAAGGCCTCGGTTTCTCTGAATTCGTTTCGAGTCGATCGATGTTTCTTTGAAAGGGTTGGGCCGACACCGACACGTTGCTGGACCACTTCAAGCATACGACGCTTGATTCTGTGTGGAAAGGAATACAGGTCGGGCCTTGCCGCCCAGAGTGAAAAGCACACGGCTTCACTCATTTGCGGTCCCTTATCGCTGGATCAGCACACGAGTTTCCCATTCGTTTCACGTAAGGGTAGCCGATGCCGCATTTGCGTTACCCACGCGTGTCTGGTTTGATGTCTCGACCAGCCAGGAAGTGGGAGTTCCGTCTACTCAGCCTGACGGAGATGATTATTTGGAGATTGTGTCGTTGTAGATGTCGTCGTCCCTTGTTGTCCTTGTCACGTGGGATCCCGTTAAATGCGGAACGAGACAACAGTTCATTATTCAACGATTCTCGTGTCCCCACCAGCCCATTCAGACACATGCTTCTGGCGCATTGCCCTGAACTCGGGAGCGTGGTATCATTTGGAGATCTCGCGGTATTGTGTGGGCCAGAGGTCGCTTGGATGCTTCTTGAAGTCTCTTGGGGTGCGTTTTGAGGGCCTCTTGGAGGCCTCTTGGGTTGTCTTGGGGGCCTCCTGCCGGCTCTTGGGTTGTCTTTTGGGGCCTCCTTGGAACATTTTGGGTGTTTCTGGGGAGGGTTCTTGGCGCCTATTGGGGCCCGCTGCGGGGCCTCGAGGCGGGGGCCTGAGTTGATCCCGCCCTCCCGGAAGACCACACTTGGCCCAACGCTTTCCACAGATCGATGAGATGAGTCTTCTCGCCGAGGCCCTCTTGGACGCTCCCGCCCTCCCACTACATCAGCAGCACGGTCGACCCACATGGTAAGGATGGGCGACCTTCCCAAGGGTGCCCTTGCATCCTCCTCCTCCTCCTCCTCCTCTTCCTCCTCCTCCTCTTCCTCCTCCTCCTCCTCCTCCTCCTCCTCCTCCTCTTCCTCCTCCTCCTCCTCCTCCTCCGTCTTCCTCCCTCTTCCTCCTCCTCCTTGCCTCCTCCTCCTCGTCCTCCTCCTCCTTGCCTCCTCAGCCTATCCTTGGGGCCACTTCCAGGGGCCGCGCCCTCGTCCGAAGAGCTGCGAGACGGGCACCCACTGCCCTGCCATCCTCAGCGCGCATCCCCTCGTGATCCGAGGCCGACGGAGGGGGCAGCCGTCCCTCGGCTGCCCTCGCCCGCGCCTCTTCTCCGTCGCCCTCCGTCGCCCCCCCCCCTCCTCGTCCGTCCCTCTCCCTCTCTCTCCCGGGGCCTCCGTCGCCCCCCCCTCCTCGTCGTCCGTCGCCCTCCGTCGCCCCCCCCTCCTCTCTCCCTCCCGGGGCCTCGCCTCCCGCGCCCTCGCTCGTCGCGCGTCCCTCCTCCCCTGCGCGCGCCGTGCGCCCTCGCATCCCCCACCTCGGCGGCGAGCGAGGGGGGGAACTGAGAAGGAGCGGGCCTGCTCAGAAGCCTCGGAAGCTCCGCGGCCTTCTGAGAAGTTCCCCGAGCCTTCCCCGAGGACAGAGGCAACTCCTCGGAAGGCGCGAGGGCCCGAGCCTTCCCCGAAGACAGAAGCAACTTCTCAGAAGGCGCGAGGGCTTCTGAGGAGCCCGCCGCCTTCTAAGAAGGCTGTCTCCTTCTTCATTTCCCCCCCCCTCGCCCGCCGCCTACCATCGCTGCACGGGCTGACCGTGCCCGAGTCTCCGCAGGGGCAGGGGCCGCCCTCCACCGCCACCGGGAGCCGGCGCAGGGACCCCCGCCAGAGAGGTGTGCGACACCCGCGGGGGGCGCCGCGCAGGCCGGCGCACCCCCGCCACTCCTCCTCCTCCTCCTCCTCCTCCTCCTCCTCCTCCTCCTCCTCCTCCTCCTCCTCCTCCTTCCCCTCCCCTCCCCCTCCCCCTCCCCCTCCCCCTTCTCGTCCCCCATGCCACAGAAGACTGCGAAAGGATTGCGGGGCGCGCGGCCGCTCTCGTCTTCTCTCCTATCTCTTGCCCGCGGGACAATTTGCATGTCGGTTGCTCCATTAGCCTCACGCTGGAGCGGACTGCCTCTGCCTCGCCGCCGACTTTTTTGCAGAGATGAGGAGCTTGCGCGCAGCAGGCAATATGCTGGCACCCCCGTCGCCCTTATCAAAAAACAGTACAGGGTGATCGCTTGGCGCCCGTGCATGATCCAGATGTTGCCGCAACGCTCACTTTGAACTGTTTTTTGACCGGGATGTTGTGGGGGGGGGTTCTTGGTTCCGGGTCCGCCTGGTCAGAGGGGAAGTTGTGTACATTAACATGGAGCCGTGGTCAAGCTACCCCCAACGCAGGACGGTCGTCTCACTCAGTGCCACCAGCCCTCCCACCACATCAGTAGCACCAGAGTCTCAGCGTAGGCAGGGGCCGCCAGCGGCAACCATCGGGCACACCCCCATCATTCTGGCCAACTCACAGCGAGAGGTGATCGCGGGGCGCCCGCGCATGGTTGATTGGTTTGCCGTAGCTTGCACTTTGTACTTATGTTTGACAGGGACTCGCGGCCCTCGTACGCGAGGCAATACGAGTGCACCCCCGTCGTCCTTGTCAAATGTACCCCCTCCCATGCATTGTTGGCGGATGCACGACTGCAGCGCCACCAGCTCTTTTCGTTTGCCGAAGGTTGGTACAATCTCATGACACAACAGCAGCATCAAATCTCGGATCGGTTGCCCCACGTGACATATTGCTACCGATATGTATCGGCCCATTTCGTGTTACACTTGTGATGGCAACAGAGAGCGCTGAAGAAGCGCTGGCGCGCGTCTGATTTGGGCACGATTGCCGCCGCGGGCGTCGTTCATTCGAGAAGAGGCCGCCTGCCCAACAGAGGCCGCTTTCGGATCTGGACAACATTTACTGTTGGTCATTGTGCCCATTTGTTTCGTTACCATCTTGGGCGTGCCAGCGCTCTCTTGCGAAGAATTCAGCGTTGTCTGAATCCGCCGTTTTCCGCTTGTCTCTTTCCCAAGGAAATGCCAGCCCAACATGGCTGTAAATCCATATCGTCCTGTGCGACATCCACGTTTATACCTCGCCCTCGCATCTTCCATGGGCTGCTCACTGCGTCTGGGGCTCGGCGTAATTGCGTAATGCTCGTGGGTATGATGGCATCCCCGCGGTCCCTGTCGAAAACAGCAGGAAGTGATCGCGGGGCTCCCGATCATCATGCAGATGTTTCGGCAAAGCGTATTTTGCACTGTTTTATGGTGGGTGGGTGTGTTGGCATTGCTCCTGCTTTGTACTCCAGATTTCGGGGGGGGTCTCTTCCAGGCTATCTTGGGGGGCCTGGGGGGTCTGGGGACGATGTTTTGGAGGGTTCTCCCACGGGGGAGGTCTGAAATGGCTTGTCTTGGAGGGTCCAGACCCCCTCCCTTTTATTACGAAATCTGGAGTAGCTGGTCGGGCGGGGGAGGGTGTGCTCACAACTCAGGAGCAGAGATGCGTGAGACCTTCCCCAGAGTGAAAGAGGGGGGGAGGATGGAAGAGGAAAAGCCTCAAATCACAACCCAGACGCTTGGCTAGATTTCATTCTGTCCGCTACACACTAAGAGATCGCATTCCCTGGCCTCATGATCGATGGGTAATACGAGTGCGGAAGTCATCCGGCAGATTCTGCTCATGCTGTTCTTACACGTCCTCTTGCTCTCGCATTTTCATTCCAGCCCGTTCGATTCCGATCGTGCAATGATTTTTAGTTTCTCCGAATGTTTGAACATTTGCGACGTTGGCTTTATTCGCGCACGTGTGCACTCGCACGCACAAGCGCACATACGCATTCCATGGTCATTGGCAACCTCGGGCTTCTGGCGCAGTCTGGCAAACACCATCCTCTCGTTGCAGCGTGCATTTCCCGCGTGTGGGTACAGATCGCAGCATTCCGGTCCTTCAGCAGAAGGATAGCCATGAGGAAGAGGAGGAGGAGGAAGTTGTCAAGGCTCCCGGTCTTTAGATGGTCCAGCCGAGAAACATCGGCCACAGCGGGGTGCAGACGTTCTTGAATTCGAAGAACATGACAGAGGCGAGTGGATTCGATCGCACGTCGGGCTGCTGCTTTTCCTCCTCACATTCAGATCTCTTCCTCCTGAGATCCCACACTGGTGCCTCTGCTCTTCCTTGAAGATGACCCCTCCTTCTGCCTCGCTCCCGCTGCCCCACCAGCCCCTGATTGTCTGCTTCCCTGTGGTGTGCTGCCTGCGGTTAATCTCGGGTGAACGCGAGATGTGGCGGAACCTGGTTATCCTCTGGGGGCCAATTCGTAGGCCAACTGTGTTCTTCAGCTGTGCACGGTGATAAAAAATGCCTTGTCGTCCAGCAACCCCCCCAAAGTTGGAACAGCGGTGATGGAGGAGTTCCGAGACAGTGCTCCGAGTTTCTTTCTAAGCGTCGGGCGGGGGCACCACCCCCGCCGACGGCCCCGCTTCGACTTCTGTCGCGGCGCAACGACGAGGCGAGGTTGACCCCCGTCGGGGGGGTACCCCCCACGCTTATGAAGAAACCCAGGGTACGGGCTGTTGGGAGGAGTTCAGTGCGTCGACCCCGGACCACGCGGCCGCCCCGAATGGGCGCGATGCTTGTGTTGTGTCTTGCCCCGCGTAGAATTAAGTCGGGCTTGTCCCTCTACAGGAGGAATGTTCAAAAATAGCACAAAAAAGTAGGGGGACTGTTTGTATGTTTGAACAGGTTTGGATCATTTGGGGGGTATGTTTAATGTTTCGTCCAAAATCCGCCTGCAGGAAGACACGCCCGACTTAAGCGTAGAAGCGATGTGGTTGTCCGCTTGTTTTCCAGCGCTTTATTCTGGGGGGGGAGGGGGAGCGAAACCTCACTTGGCCGTGCCGAGGGCAGCAACAGAGAAGGATCAAGCAGGACAGAACGATCAAACGGGAAGAACAGCCTTCCTCCATCCGGGGAAGATGGCAAGAGCGTGAGATCTGACATCGGACAACGAGACCACGTCTTGCGATGCGCAAGCCGAGAGCCACCCGACGTGTCAGGTTCTCCTCTCATGGAGTACTGCATTTCCGCGCCCAGGAATGTTCCCTGTCTTGACTCGTTGTTGTTGCATGCGGAATAGTGTGTCGCGGCAAATCGTACAGCCTCGCAGAACAAGCAGTGGATGTTTAGCGAATGCTTGCGATGGTTGGCTCGAGATGCCTCGCGGACGCCGAAAACGCACCATGGTCGTGGTACCAATTCCAGTCAGTGATATCGGTTTTTCAGTTCCGTGGCAGAGCAGCAGCAGTCCTTGAGGCGGGATGGAGGGGAGAGTGGTGGGGAGAAAGAGGAGGAGGAGGAGGAGGAGGAGGAGGAGGAGGAGGAGGATTCGTAGAGCGAGGCGCAAAGCAGCCGAACAGGTGCGCGCGCGCGCGGCGGGGGGCCTGCAAACGCAGGACCCCCCGACCGTATCTAGAACTCGCACTCCTCGGAGCAGACCTCGTGCGCAGCTCTGGATCCACGGCCTCCGTGCCCACCAGCTCCTGGGCCTGGTTCCCGCGGCCCTCGGGGAAGGTCGCGCTGGGGGTTGTCGATCGGCCGAGTCCTGGTCTGCTCCTTCTGCGCCCCCTCGGGCTCGTCCGCCACCATCTCGAGGTCTGCCAGCGCCTGTGCCAGCGCCTCCGCGCGAGCAGTGCTCTTGCGGAGTTGGTCCAAGGCCATCTTCTCCTGCCGCACAGCCTCACACAGAGCTCCTTCGGCGCGAGCGTCCTCGGCGGGGGACGCTGCACCGCCATCCCTGAGCTGCGCCAGCGCCTCGGCCATCCGCACGGCGCGCGCCTCGCAAGTGCGGACGAGCTCCTCGGCGGTGCGCTCGTCCTTGCACGCCGACTCAAGGGCAAGCCGTGCTCCGCCGAGAGCTCCTCCTCCATAATATCCTTCATCACCTCCACCTTCGTGCCGAAGATCTTCCTGAGAGTCTCGGGCATCGCCCGGGGCGGCGCCAGCGACAGCGCCTTCTTGGGCGACACCCTCGCCACCAGAATGCCACGCTGCATCGCCACCAACTTCATCAGCAGGGGCGCCGTGGGGCAGGCCAGGCAACACCAAGCTCAGCGCGGCGCCGAGCCTGGACAGCTCCTGGCCGCGGTGGCGGCCGATCTCCCCGAAGGCCTTGAGGAGATGGAGGGCCGCGCGGCCCTGCGCACCTGCGTACTGCGCACGGCGCTCGGCAGCTGTCCGATTCGGGCGGCGCGGCCGCCGCCGGGCACCCGGATCCATCCCAGCCGCCTGAGCGGGGACGCGGAGGGCGCGGCCACGCGCGCGGAGAGAGGAGGGAGGCCCAGGGCGGCGCGCGGAGCGCCAATAGCGCTGGCTTCGGAGCCCGAGGCTCGAGAAGCCGGCGCTTGGAGGAGTAGGAGGAGGAGGAGGAGGAGGAGGAGGAGGAGGAGGAGGAGGAGGAGGAGGAGGAGGAGGAGGAAGAGGAGGAGGAGGAGGAGGAGGAGGAGGAGGAGGAGGACTGGGGGACCACGATGGGAGGGGGGCCACCCTCCCGCTACTGGCGAAGTGGTGGAGCTGTCCCCCTTGCCACCGCGGCCTTTCTGGCAGGGGCAGATCTCCCCCGCCCTGCCCAGGAGTCGCCCTCTCGCCCTACTTGGGCCCACTCTTGCCCTCCCACGTTCCCGCCTCCCGGGCGGGCCCGAGGCCAGCGTCCCGCTGCAGACGCTGGACGTCTCCGACAGCGACGAGGAGAACGAGGCAGTGAGTCGGCAGCAGGCCGCGTGGAGTTGCGGGGGGGCTGCGCCCAGTTTCGCTCGGAGACACGCGCGCGCCCTTTCTAGATCTACTCGCTCTTTCGAGGGTTCCTCCCGCCCTTCGCTCGTCTCGAGGGTTGGCCTCGACCCCGCTCCGCCTTCTTGTTCCTCTTGTGGAGAGTGGGCGCAGGCCGCGGCGGCAGCAGCCACACGAGCAGCGAGGCTCGGCCTCCTCTCTCCCTCCTCTCCCTCTCCTTCCTCCCCCAGCAGACAGGGGAGGGTTCATCCTTGGATGGTGTTTGGGCGTTTTGTTATGGAAATGTGCTGTTTTGGCCGCGCGGCGGTGAGATCCTCCAGGAAGGCAGCGCACCAATCGCGAACGCTGACATCCGCGAGAGCGCCCGACGCAATAATGGAGATGAACGGCCTTCGGCCCATCCCGCCACCATGCCCAGGCTGTAGGTCAGATGCTTCTTGGATGCTTGAGGAGATCTCGTGGTAGGCCTCCTGGAAGCCTCTCGGAGGCTGGGCATTTCTTGGGGCCTCCCGGGAGTCTCTTGGAGCCTGATTTGGGCCTCTTGGGGGCCTCCTGGGGCTGCTGGGGGCCCCCTTGGGCGTCTGCTGGCGGTATCTTGGGGCGGAGGGCGCGAAATGTCAGTTCGAGTTCCGCCTCTTGGGGCCCTCTTGAGGCCCTCTTGAGGCCCTCTTGGGTCCCTCTTGGGTCCCTCTTGGGGCCTTGTGGGCCGTCCTGGGCCCCTCTTGGGCCGTCTGGGGCCCTCTTGGACCGTCTGGGGGCGATCTTGCAGGCCTCTTGGGCTGCCTTGGAGCGTCGGGTTCCTGACGAGGCGGGAACGCTAAAATCAAGAAAAACCCTAACGCGAATGAATGATTGTAGCCTTGCGGGGCCCTCTTGGGGGCCACTTCTTGGAGCTCCCTTGGGGCTTCTTGGAAGCCTCTTGGGTTGTCTGGAGTGCATCGTGGGCAGTCTTGGGGCCCTCTGGGGCCGTCTCGGGGCGATCTTCTTCCTTCCTGGGCGCTTCCGAGGCAACTTCGGGGGGTCTCCGGGTCGTGTTGGCAAGGGCCACCGTCCCGGAGGTCCACGCGAAACAGCCCGCGTGTGCCCCGGAGCGCCTGGGACACCCGGGGGTCCGGGCCCTTCATGGCCTTGGGAGCCTTGCACCGCTCAGGGCTGCATAGGCCTTGGGGCACTCCACCGCGTGTCTCGAGGCACGGTGTCGCACCTGGTGTGAGGTCCACGAATCTCGGGCCGAACGAAAGGGGGGGAATAGGGAAAGGGGGGGGTACGAAATCTGCTGCACGCAACTGGTTTCGGTCTCACCGAGGGGCCATTCCTCGATACATGGGCGCCGGGAAAATCAGCTACGTGAGCTGATTCTCAACCCCCCCCTTTGCTATCCCCCCCTTTCGCCCGGCCCAAGAATCGGGTTGACCCAAAAGGAGGTCCAGCGACAAGGGGGTGGTGCAGTAGATTTGGTGCAATAAGCTTGTGGGGTTGCACTAATTGTGGGGCGTCCTATACCTTCCGGGGCGCAAATGGATTGTTGGATTTTCGCGTGCAATACACTGTTTGCAATACAATACAACACACTTTTCCAGCGCAATGCATTTGCAGCACAATTGCCCCAAACCTATTGCATCGACCCCTTTCAGCTGGACCCCCTTTTGGGTCAACCAAAACGGAGAAACGCAACAGGAATCGAATGGAACCGTGAGGGGGTTGGAAACCTACCAAGATACGAAGCAGGAGCCTCAGCTGATGTCCGCACGTGGGCGAGAGTTCTTCGGGCGAGACCAGTACGCTTGCGCTCGGCGCATGCATAAGCGTAAGGGACACTTATCGGAAGCCGCGGGAACTTCCGAAATGATGGGCTTGTTTTCCATCACCACCATAAGTTGGAGGGGGGAGGGGTTCCTTCTCCTCATCCTCATCCTTCTCATCCTTCTCCTCCTCCTCCTCCTCCTCCACCCCCTCCACCTCCTTCCCCCCACAGACTTATGGTGGTGGTGGTGGTGGAAATTGGGCCCATCACGAAAACCTGCAGGACACCACCGGACACCGCTCCAGAAATCGATTTTGGGCGCTGCGTAATGGGGGGGTCATAAATGAGGGGGTGGCGAGCGTGGTCCGAAAAGGTACCCAAACGGTACCTAAACGAGCCCCCTGGGGCTCTGGAGGGGCCCGAAAGGGGCACGAAAGGGGACCTTTTCTGACCTTCCCATTTGTGACCCCCCCATTAAGCCACGCCCAACGATTGCTCCTGAGGAAGTCCCAAGCGAAAGCTGCATTTTCGGCCACACCCAGGATCATCAGGAGCCCCACTCAGGAGCCCGCGGCTTCCCGATCGCGGATCGGCCACGCGCAGAGGGCAGGGGATGTGGAGGAGGGGGGGAGGGCTTCTCAGAAGCAGCCCTGCTGCTTAGAAGGCGCGGGCCTCTTGTGTACACCTTAGGCGATGCTTAAGAAAACCTAAGTTTTCGGCCAGAGTCTCGATTATTCTTAACGTTTCAATGTAAGTCCTAAGACTTTCATGGAAATGTTGTTTTTTTTATTCAAGTTCCGAGACTATGAATTTCTTAACCCATGATTTCTTAAGCATTTCGCAGGGTGTAGATGTAGGGCCGGCGCCTTCTAAGAAGCAGCCTGCTTCCAGGAAGCCTTGCGATCGTTTTCTTACGCATGGTCTGCCGATCGGCGCGGGCCTTTGCACCCCCCTCCCCCTCCCCACGGAGTGGATATGGGCTGTTTTTGGCGCCTGTTTCGAGCAGGTGGAGCCTCCCCCAGAGGACGCACAGTTCCAAACAGCCGCACTAGGCAGAGGTCCGGAGCCAGACCCTCCCCCTCCCGCCCCCCTTTCCGCCCAGGGTCGAATCTCCGAATAAGAAAACGCTCACCTTCCCCCCCTCCCCCCTATTCAAGCAGTGGCGAAGCGTCCTGGCTCGCCTATTGGCCTACCAAAGAATGTTCTAAGAACCTTTTACGCTTTCCACGACATGTTCTTAGAACATTTCTGGCTGGGACTGTTTTGTTTTCACACATCGGCTTTATGGTCTAAGAACACGTTTTTTGTTGTTAGAATATTTCAGGGTTCCCTGCTCAACCTATACCCCCCTCTGCGCGCCGCCAAGCTGGGCCTCGGGAGGATGCCGCCGCGAGCGGCGCGCTCCCCCCCCCCCTATGCCAGGCGCGGATCCGGCAGGCCACGTCCCTGCCCGGCGTCGACGTCGGGGAGGCCAAAGACGCGTACAGCGAGGACCCGGCTGGTTTTTCATTGCGCGGCAAGCAAGGTTTAAGTCGGGCCTGTCCCTCTACAGGAGGTGTATCCAATCACACCACAGGAAAAACCCAATCAGTGGATGGTTTTCGCTGAGGAGATCGACCAGGAACCCGGGAGCCCGGGAACCCAGAGCCCACCGAAATCGGCCCGGAACCAATAACCGGGAACCCAGGACCCCGGAACCGGGAACCCGGGAACACAGTTTGCTCCCAAAATCGGCAGGAAATGTTCGCCAAATTTTTCGGCTTCCGCCAGGACCCCTTCAGTGCAAGCACTGATTGGGGAAGAATAGCCAACAAAAATACTCAAGGGGACGTTTTTCTGCTACTTACGCAGGACGAAAGATTTTCCTCTTGAAGTCGAAGAGGATCACCCCCGTCCCCCGTAGAAGTCTAACACGGGGGGTGGCCTGCGGTCGACGGATGCCCTTCTTGTCGGCTTCCGGAACGAATTCAATGTTATAATTTCAAAACGGCGTAGAAATAGGATCCGCCATAAGAAATAGGGTCCGACGCGGATTCCGAAAATCAGAAATGGGATCCGCGCGCACGGAAATGGGATCCGCCGCGATTTCACGATTACGGTAAGGTTGGAAATCGGATTCGTGCGGCCCTCATTGGGTTCGCCGCTATGCTTTCCCAGAGGGCCCGTGCACCGCGTGGGACCGTGAGGTTCGGCGCCAACAGGAAAAAACATTCGGCCTGGGGATGTACGCTTGACTGTTTTGGGGTACTTGTGCTTGTTTGATTCTTTCTGATGTTCGCCCACAATCCGCCGGGAGGAGGACATGCCCGACCTAATTAACGGGGTCTGCTGCCGGTGCCCCAGCCCGTGGTGTGACGGGCCCGCTCTGCGCGTTGTGCGCAGCGGCGTTGAATGACGGTAGCCTGTACGGTACTCCAAATCCCTTATTAATCGACCCCCCCTAAAAAACCAGACCCCCCTCCAAATGCGACCTAATATTCCGGACCCCCTCTTCGAGGGGGCGCCTTAGTAAGCCAGACCCCCTCAGCTCCAATCCGAAGAAAGCGACCTAATAAACCGGACCCCCTTAATGACCAAAAAGGCGCCTTAAAAAACCGGACCCTGGGGACGATTAATAAGGGATTTGGAATAGGCTCGCGTCGTGCCGACCGGCGGCGACCCCGCTACTGGCGTTCAACATTGAACGCCGCCGGCGACCCAGAATCGGTCGATGTTGACCGAGCTGGCGTTTCGGACACGCCCGGTCGTTCAAGGTGGAGCGGTCCCCGCGGTGTCAGGAGCCAACGCCGGGGTCGACACGGCACGAACCTGCCGTACTTGCTCCCAGTCGGGAGGCGAGCGGATTGCAATTGCCGGAGCGTGCCCAACGGTAGTGCCTACCGAGGAGGTCGGGGAACAGCAAATGGCATCAACATGCACTTTTGACGGTCCGCGCGGATTCTGCGGATCGTCGCGGGGGCCCCTCGGCGGCGCCTCCTGCGCCGCCCCCTGGCGCTCCGCGCGCCGGGGAGGGCGGCCCAGCGCCAGCCCAAGGAATCCGGGGAGCTCTCCAACAGGTTGACGTTCAGTTACAGTCGGGGCGCTGACGAAGGAACCCCTTTCGTTTGGGAGGGGCTCAGTGTTCCTTAGTCCTTTTGCAGTCTGCCGCAGGTGTTCCTTAGGCTTTCGATGGGAAGTCGAAGCTTCACTCCGGGAAAGAAGGGGCCTCGTTCCTTACTTGGGGTTCCTTCGGTCAAAACCCCGCCTGTGTGCCAGCTGTTGTTCCTTTAAGACGTGCCCCCAGGTTTTTGTTGGGGGGCCCCTCTCCGGGCCCGAGGAACCGTCAGAGTTTCGCCTCAGGGACGGCCCCTGGGTCCGGGTCCCGTTTCTCTCCGAGCCCTCTCTTCCTTCGTGCTGGGTTAGGTCGGGCCTGTCCCCTTACACCTTAGGCGATGCTTAAGAAAACTTACGTTTTCGGCCAGAGTCTCGATTATTCTTATTCAATGGAAAACCTAACTTTTAGTAGAAATTTGGTTTTTCTTCAAATTCTGAGACTCTGAATTTCTTAACCCATGATTTCTTAAGCATTTCGCAGGGTGTACAGGGGGATTTTGGACGAAAATTTTAAAATAGTCAATCAATACCTTGAAATATTCAAAACATTGGTCTTAAAAAGTGGTCCCCATATTATGTTGTGACTGTTTTGGAATACTCCTCCTGTAGAGGGACAGGCCCGACTTAATGCTGGGGAAGAGGGGGGGCGGAGGCGGATGTGAGGAGAGGGAAGGTGAAGGGAGGGGCGAGGGACAGGAGGACTCCCAAGGTCCCGGGCAGCACAATCAGGGTCAGAGGCTTGCAAGCACTCTCAGCGAGGAGGCCGTGGAGGAGGGGGGAGGAGGGGACTTACAGCCGATCAGCACAATTTATCAGCACAGTGCGAGTAAGATGAGGGGCCATGATCGATTGTTCAAGCCGCCGCTCACTTATCCGCCCCCCTCCCCTCACCCCCTTCCCCTCTCCTCCATTCCCCTTGCCCTCTCCTCCCTCTGCCCTTCATCCACCTCGTCGACCTTCTCCTCCTTCTCCTCCCCTTCAACTCCTCCCACTCCTTCCCCCCTTCCTCCATCTCCCTTTTTCCTCCCCTCTCCCCCTCCCCCGTTCCCCCTCCCCGTCCTCCCCCTGCTGCCCCTCCCTGTGCCTCGCCTCCCCCCCTCCTCCTCCTCCTCCGACTGTTTCGGCCACCCTGTTCAGTTTAAGTATGTGACGAGTTGTCGTCCAACTGCTACGGATTTCCCGCGAGCTGCCCCACTCTCCAGTATTTCGCCGTTGACCGCCTCATCCCCGAAGTTGGGGTTACGTACACTTGAAGCTTGCAGAGAGTTTGGTAATCTTCCTCAGGCGCCGCCGCCTCTCTCTGCATCAAACACTCCGGCGCAGCGGGAGCTGCACGTGTGGGGCGTGGCCTTCTCCGCGGACTCGCAGACGTTCGCCGCGGCGACCAGCCATGGTGTTTTCGTCCAGATGGCTGGCGCCCTCCCGAGGATCGAGCGAACGGCAGCAGCGCGGCAGCAGCGCTGCAGTCTCAGATGCTGACCTGCCTGTGCGACCTCTTCAGGCCCAGCTAGATTTAGAAAGCTCTGACCCTGGCGGGGCCCATACGAGGAGGAGGATGGGGGGGGGAATGAGAGGATCGAGTGTTTCGTTTGTGTGTCTGGCCCTTTTATCTAGGATTCGGAGGCCTCTAGGGAGGGAGGGAGGGATAGGTTGCGTAAGCGAGGGCGTACGAGGGGTTGCCAGAGCTGAATCCGCCGCCCGGCCATTCCCCACGAGCTGATCGGCGACGAGCGTTTCTTATACTCCGGCTGCACGGCCAGCAGTGCCAATAGGTGCAACAGATATTATGGTGAGGTCGTTCTTGTTCAACGTGTTGTTTTCGACATACACTCTGCTTGGCAGTGTGACCAAAGCTGCCAGCTTCACGGAAGAAGGGCGGCTGCGTTTCATTAATAGTTTACTTTCTTGGGAAGTCTGGTGGAGTGAACAGTGATACTTGCAGGGACTCGTGATGTGGGGACTTGAGACCGGAAGGGTGTGCAGCAGCATCGTTGGTGTATCTTGGTTTGCTTATGGTCCTCTTCCATCCTCCTCATCCTCCTGCTGCTATTCCTTCTCCCTCCCCGGAGGTCTCCTGCGGTCTCCAGAGCCCCCAGAAGGCCCAAAGCGACCAAAGACTTAAATCCTCGAACCTTCTCCTCATCCTCCTCCTCCTCCTCCTCCTCCTCCTCGTCCTTCTCCCCCTCCTCTCCCTCTTCCTCCTGCACTCCCGCATCACCGACCGTTCTCGTAAGTGCGCCCCCCCCCGCCTCAGCGTCGAGGGAGTCTTCCTCACATCTGACGGGGTTCGGCCCCGGGGGGGGAAGACGGAGGGGGCGGACCTCTGCCAGAAGGCTCCGCGAAGGCCTCCGGCGTGCCGAGGAGCTTTTTCCCGAGCCTTCTCCGAAGCCGCGGGGGGCCCTTCAGAAAGCCAGAGGGCTTCTGGGGAGCCCCACAGCCTTCCGAGAGGGCCTGCCCCCTCCTCACTCCGCCCCTCCTCGGCGCGCCGCCGAGTTCCCCGCCGACCTGTGGGCCCCCCGCGGGCAGCGCGGATCTACGCCGCGGACATGGGCTGCAGCACGCCCGGCGCGGCCGCCAGCATTTACGGCGGCGACGTGGGGCGTTTCGTGCCGCAGATGCTGACGAAGGCGGTCTCGGCGCCCGCTGTGGTGAAGGCAGCGCGCCGCAGGGGCAGGAGAATGATTGAAAGCTTTTTCAAGGGACGAGAGGCCACCCTGAACCCCCACAACTGGCGTTTGCTGCACGGCCGTGGACGTTCACTGAACAGCCCTGTCCTCTTCGATTCCTGCTTCGGGTGCGTTAATGAGTAAACGGCTTCGCACTGCTTTTAATTTTGGCCTTTGTGAATTAATTCCCATGTCCTTCCCGTTAGGCATGCCGAAGGGGTCTTCACTTGGGTGCGAGGCCTGTAGGTGCGAGGCCTGCACCGGCCAGCGTTGCTCGGGGTTCCATGGTCTGGTCACCCGCTGTGGCCAAGGCGACGCGTCGCAGTGGCAGGAGGATCGAGTTATTTCGTTGTTTGATCATGTTGATTGAGCTTGGCCCCTCCTGGATGCTTTCAGAGGTACTCGGGGACCTTCGGAGGCCACCGTGGGCTTCCGGGCACCTCTGGGGATCTCCGGAGGCTTCCGGAGAATTCTGGAGACCAGTCGGCGGGGAGGGCACCCTCGGTGCATCGCGAGGCGGGTCGTGCGGGCAGGTATCTTCGTCGAGCCGCCCGCAGGTGTGGGGGGGGTGGAAGCCAGCAGCCCGGAGTGGCCTGTGGACGTGGGGGGAGGGTAGCATGGGAGGGGAGGGGAGGGGGGGGGGAGGAGGGGAGGGAGGGAGGGGGGGGGACCACGGCATGGCGTGGCACCCAGTACGTGCTCACGAGGGGGGCGAGGGGAGGGAGGGGCGCGGGCTGGGGAGGGGACCCCTACAGGTCGGCCGGAGCCATCGGTGCAGTCCGAGGGCCAGAGGTCCAGGCCCCTTCCCCGGGGCCGGCCTTTCATCCCGCATCTTCTCCTGCTGGCCCTGGTCTCGGAGGTGGACAGAGACCCCGCCCTTCCTGGCAAGGAGGGGCGCTCTCCGCCAGGGAAGGGGGCCATAATCCCCGGGACCCCCCAGGAGCCCCACCGCAGGACCCCCCGCCCCCCTGGCGGGGGAGGGATCACAGGGAGTGGGCTTCCTCCTCCTCCTCCTCCTCCTCCTCCTCCTCTTCCTCCTCCTCATCATCACGGCTCCATGACCCTCGGGTTAGAACGCCCGACTCAGAGCGACCTTGTGGGCCTCGGCGGATCCCCCGGCACATCGCCAGTCTCCCCCCCCAGACCCCACGGGAGGAGTCAGGAAGAGGGGCCCCCCCCGTCAAGGAACGTAAGACAGTTCGCAGAGACGACGCGCTAGACCACCCTCGCCCAGCAGCGGACTGATGGGATTTCTCATGATTGCCTTGAGGACGATGTCCCACCCCATTGCGACAATACAGTAGGGGCCCGACCACGAGAAGCCTTCCACAAGAAGCACAACCTTGAGACCCCAGGGCGTCCACTGATTCGTGATGTGGGAACGTCACGCACTCCATTGCAAGATCACCCGAGCCCAAGACATCCAGAGCACCCTGGAGGCAAGCAGGGTGTTTCTGGGCATGTGTCTCCACTGTACTAAGCGTGTGGTGGGTGGGGCGGAGGGGGGGCAGCCCGTACGCTCGTCTTCCCAATGCGATCACCCGGCTTGCGCTCCTCGGAGTCGCCACGCGGCCCCCACTGCTCTTCGCACCTTCCTCCGCCCACGCCTGTCTCTCACTACGGCATGTGATTCCCTCGGACGACGACGCGCGCGTTACTCGCATCGGCATGATGTCGGGTCGGGTGGTTGCTCTTCTTCGCGTGGTCTGCGCGGCCCGTACAGTGGAGACCCATGCCAAGACGCCCTGCTTGCCTCCAGGGTGCCCTGGGTTTCTTGGGTTTCGATCATCTTGCTGTGGAAAGCGTGACGCTCCCACACCAAAAATCAGTGGACGTCCTGGGGTCTCAGGGTTGGGTTTCTTGTGGAAGCTTTCTTGTGGACTGGCCTCCGCTGTATCGTAGTTGCCCGTGTGCCGATGAGGGTGAGGAGGTACTTCGGGCAGAACCTGAGGAGCGCGTTGGAGGAGTCGGCTTCCATCATTAGTCAGCCTATATGGCCGCTGCGTGGCGGCAGTTGCACTGTGTTCCAGCAAGAGCCTGTTGCCGCCTGGCGTCGAGTCAGCCACCCGATGACAGTTCCCCCCTTCTGCCTGACCTCGCCCAGGCGCTGGATGCCGGAGACCTGTGCCGCGCGATGATACTGGCACTGGCGCTGAACGACTACGGGCTGCTGCGGAGAGTGTACGAGGCGAGGCGCGGTGTTGATCGGCGTTTCCTGAGCCCGCCTACTTTGCGTTCCCTTGCCATCGCCACCGGGTTCGGATGCCAGACCACAGCAGAGCGGAACGGAGAGAAGCCGATGTCCCCCTTGTGCGCGGAGATCATCATACCAAGGCAAAGCGGAGCGACGATCCACTGCTCAGAGCAGGCGACCCAGATCCATGTTGCGCCGTCAGCGAAGCGGCCCGCGCACTCTTGTCGGGGAAACATACGACTCGAGTAAGCCGGAACTCGGGGTTGCCGACGTTTTTTGACGAGCGCGTCCTGGATTTTGACGGTCCGGGTGTCTTGGGATGTCTGCAGCGGGAGCTCGGGTCAGATATTGGGCCTCGTCGTTTTCATGCTGGCCCCGTCACGGCAACCCGAGTCCCCCGTACCCAAGTCTTACGTTCGTGGACGACGATCCATGGAGAGGAAGCATGTTGCCACATACTTTCCAGATGCCTCACAATATTCAAAGCATGTCTTACGCGTGCATCAAACAAGATGTTTCAAACACTTGTTTCTATCACAGCTTTCAGCCTTTGAAGATACAGGTGCAATTCGGTGAAAGGGCTGTTAGGGTGCCCACTGTCATGGTATCCACAAGCTTACGTCTCCCCGATCCTGCGCGCGCGGAGGAGGAGGAGGAGGAGGAGGAGGAGGAGGAGGAGGAGGAGGAGGAGGAGGAGGAGGAGGAGGAGGAGGAGGAGGGAGGAGGGAGGAGGAGGAGGAGAGGAGGAGAAGTAGGAGGAGGCAGGCCGAGACGCCCGACCCAAGGCGCAGTGCACGCTGCCAGCGGCTCTCGGAGCTCCGGCCTCGAGAGGCCCCCCGCCCCTGCCCAGAGAAGGCCACTGGGCGCGGGCGCAGACCCCGAGGCCCTCCCCAGGGCTCCCCTCGTGGCCCCAGGGGCCAGCTCCTCCGCCTCCTCCTCCTCCTCCTCCTCCTCCTCCTCCTCCTCCTCCCTCCTCCTCCTCCTCCTCCTCCTCCTCCTCCTCCTCCTCCCTCCCCCCCCTCCTCCCTCCTCCTCCTCCTCCTCCTCCTCCTCCTCCTCCTACCTCCTCCTCCTCCTCCTCCTCTCCTCCTCCTCCTCCTCCTCCCCCTCCTCCTCCTCCTCCTTCCTCCTCCTCCTCCTCTCCTCCTCCTCCTCCCTCCTCCTCCTCCCTCCTCCTCCTGCAGAGGCGACGGGGCCCCGTGCCGTCCCCGAGAGGACCCGGGCCCGCTCGGGCGTGCCCGGGCGTGCCCGGGAGGTGGTGGAGGTCTCGAGGCGTTGCCCCAGGGAGGGAGGAGGAGGAGGAGGAGGAGAGGAGGAGGAGGAGCAGGAGGAGGGAGGAGGAGGAGGAGGAGGAGGAGGAGGAGGAGGAGGAGGAGGAGGAGGAGGAGGAGGAGGAGGAGAGTGAAGGATGAGGAGGAGGAGGAGGAGGAGGAGGAAGGAGAGGAGGAGGAGGAGGAGAAGGAGGAGGAGGAGGAGAAGGAGGAGGAGGAGAGGAGGAGGAGGAGGAGGAGTGAAGAGGAGTGAGGAGGAGTGAGGAGGAGGAGGAGGAGGAGGAGAGCAGGAGGAGGAGGAGGAGGAGGAGGAGGAGGAGGAGGAGGAGGAGGGTCACTCGGAGGCAGGAGGCGCAGCAGGAGGACGAAGAGGTGGTGGACTCGTCCGCCAGGGTGCAAGGGCGCAGATGGCCAGGGAACGGAGGTCGTCCGCCCACCCCTTCCAGCCAGCAGCCCAAAGCAATTACCCCCCACACCCCGCTGACCGCCACAGACTGCCTTGCCGAATCCTCTCCTCCCCCCTCCGCAGCTCATACAAAGGACCCCCCCACACACCGCTCACCGACACAGACTGCCTTGCCGAATCCTCTCCTCCCTCCTCCGCGGCTCAGACAGATGACCCCGCCCACACCCCGCTCACTGGCACAGACCGCTTGGCCGACGCCCCTGACCTTCCAGAGAGCTATGTTTTAGCACGGGAGGCCTAAAAACCTAAAAAACTAAGCAAAATAGCCAAAAACCAAGACACAGAATAGCTCTGGGATAGGTTTTTAAGTCGCGTGTTATTTTTTAGCCCTCCTGGAAGGTCAGGGGCCTCTCCTCCCCCCTCCGCGTCCCTGGGCCCCTCTGCCCCCCCACCCTCTCTTCTCCGCCCCCCCGCCGGCGCAGCCTCAGAGTCTCCCCCCACGGCGTGCCCTGCCCCTCCCCTCCGCCTGCCCTGCCCCTCCTGCAGTGGGGTCGGGCATGCAGTGGGGGCGCGTGCCAAGAAACCAGTTGGATTTTGCCAGGGTGCCCTGGGTTTCTTGGGCTTCGATGGGTCCCCAATAAGATATGGATGATTCTCGATCGACAAAATTGAGTTTTTTTATGGAACAGATCGCGCATTTCAGGGTTGGGTTTCTTGCGGAGGTTTCTTGTGGCCGAGCCCCCACTGTGTCCCTATACAGGGGGGAATGCTCAAGAATAGTGCAAGAGTAGTCTGGGGACGATCTTTGGAATATGATTATGTTTGAATGTTTGTTCCACTACTTGATCGTGTCTTCCAAAATCCGCCTGTAGGAGGACATGCCTGACCTGACTCTTCAATTACACATCACGAATACTTGTCTCCTCTCTCCCCTGACTCTGTCCGGAAGATGTCCGGCCCCCTCTGCGTAATGTTTCTCAGTTGTGCTTCTTGTTGTCTTGTGTTTGTATGCCGTCCGATCGTCTTCGGAGCCTCAAGATGGTGCTCCCGCTGCCGCGTGGGCCGTCTTTTCGGACTCGGTGGTCTGCTCCCCTGACCTTCCAGAGAGCTATGTTTTAGGACGGGAGGCCTAGAAACCTAAACAACGAAACGAAGCAGCCCAAAATCAAGACACATAATAGCTCTGGGATAGGTTTTTCAGTCGCGTGTTATTTTTTGGCCCCGTCGATCGGGATGGCGCTCCCGCTCCTGGCGTGGGGCTTTTCTGGATCCGAGTCTCTCTTCATCGCTGTCGCCTCCATCGTTGCCCCTCCTCCGCGTTCCCCTGGTCCTGCTCCTCTCGTTCCTTCCACGCCAGCCCATGCTGCTACTGATGTTCGTCTTCGTCGTCCTCCTCATCCTTCCTCATGCTCCTTCTCATCCTGCTCTTCCTCCTCCTCCTGCCCATCCGCCACCTCCTTCCCGCCACCTCCTCCTCCCCCTCCTCCTCCTCCTCCTCCTCCTCCTCCTCCTCTACGCAATGGTAAGGGATGGGAGGGAGGGATAGGATGTGAGATATGGCGCGAGCCCACCTAGCTTGCCCCTCACCCTCTCCACCCCGCCCCTCCTCCTTCCCGCTCCCCCCCCCATCTCTCCCTTCCCCTTCCGCTTACCTTCCCTTCTCATTCCCTCCGAAAAAGAAATCCCGCCGTAAAGATCAACTGTTGGCTCTCCGCGCGGATTTCTTGGATCCGCGCTGGGCCCTCCCGGCGGCGCCTCCGGCGCCGCCCCTGGCGCGCTCCACGCGCCAGGTAGCGGTGGGTCCAGCGCAGATCCAAATCTGCGCGGAGCGCCAAAATAGTATGGTTACGCCGTTTTCTCTTCTTCTATCCCCGTTGTTGCCCCCGCCGAGGCCGTGCCCACGCGCGAGATCCCCGTGATCATCGCGTCGGTGGGCGCGCCGTTGCTGCCCGCGCTGCTCTGGTTTCTCAGCCTGGAGCTGAGGCCCGGCCGGCAGCCATGTCCCCACAGGGGAGGGAGCAGACGCCGAACATGAACACGGGGAAAGGATGTGCTTTTGTTGTTGTGAGTTCGCGGCGGCGGAGGAGGGGGAGGAGAAGGAGGAGAAGGAGAAGAAGGAGGAGGAGGAGGAGGCATAAGGGGGAATAAGGGGGAGGAGGGAGGAGGAGGAGGAGGAGGAGGAGGAGGAGGAGGCGGAGGAGGAGGAGGAGGAGGAAGAGGAGGAGGAGGAGGACGAGGACGAGGACGAGGACCAGGAGGAGGAGGAGGAGGAGGAAAAGGAGGATGAGGAGGAGGAGGAAGAGGAGGAGGATGACGAGGACGAGGACGAGCAGGAGGAGGAGGAGGAGGAGGAGGAGCAGGAGCAGGAGGACGAGCACGAGGACGAGCTCGAGGAGGAGAGGGATAAGCAGGGAGGAATACGAAGGAGGAGGAGGAGGTAGGAGGAGGAAGGAGGAGGTAGGAGGAGGAAGGAGGAGGTAGGAGGAGGAGGAGGAAGGAGGAGGAGGAAGAGGAGGAGGAGGAGGAGAAAATGGTGGGAAGGAGGGGGAGAGGGAGGGGGAGGGGGAGGGAGGGAGGAGGACAGGAGGAGAGAGAGGAGGCGGAGGAGAAGGAGGAGGAAGAGGAGCAGGAGGAGGAGGAGGAGGTAGGAGGAGAAGCAGCATCAGAAGCAGGAGGTACGGTCGCTGAGTAGGAATCGTCAACATTCTGTCTGAGCCGCCGCCGACTTGCATCCACCAGCGTTCAGCTTTTTGGGCGGGGCTGGACGAGAGGTGGTGTGCGTGTGTGGTGGGTGGGGTTCCAGCTTCTCCATGCTGCGTGAGCTGGCCCAGCCCGCGCGAACTCGCATGACTTGACGTACGCCGCGCTGCTGCGCGCGAGACCGCG